TGCGAGAAAGAAGACAACAAAGTTCTCTAATTCCAGCGGAAGCTTCCCCCTAACACAATTCCACCAGAGGTTGGACCAAATGTTGCAGCTTTGCAAATCCCTCAGGGGAAAACGGAAAGATCCATGATCCCCCCCCCGCACCCCCACCCCGTAAAACCTCAAGAGGAGCAACTACATGTAGGTAAAGAGAAAATTTTGTTCCGACTCTCCTGAGAGATGAATGGAATGCCTTAACAAGGAGCGGGTAAACAGAAGGATAGAAATTTAAAGTTAAATCTTCGGGGCAAAGAACAACATAAGATATTAGAATATATGAGAATAATTCAATTACCTACGTCTATAAGCAGGTCTGTACAGTTCAGTAAAGAATTACTACGCACAATTTCCACACGCGCAGATATAACATGCGTCAAATTTTGGAAGACGGGAATATATTTTTTTTTTCCCCACGCGACTTCTACGAATCTGAACAAAACCTGAAAATTTTTCGAGCTCCTGCAATCACTCAAAAAAAAAAAAAAACAAGCACCTAAATCAGGTGTCTCCACCTACCGCACCTTCCACTCAAGAGTGTTGACGACAAGGCATTAGAAAATACAGACATCTAGTGGCATGAAAATCATACTAAGTTTAATTAAAGTCAATTTATTATCTCGCTCCAGTAGCGTTTCTGTTATACGCAGGTCCTGTGTACCGAGGAATGTTACTGCACACATAGCCCCGGTCTCCCCTTCTGAGCAGCCATTCTTCTTCACACGTGTCACGGAGTTTAATGTCACCCCGGAGTGCGATAACCGGAACAAGCTTCCAGGAACTTGGGCTGACTCCTGAACAATCCGCATGACAAACACCGACGCACTGCGGACAGTTCACAAAAGCTGGAAATAAACTTTCGTTCGGTCATCGTCTGCCACGGGACGGAGGGACACACGCGCCTCCACGACTCCTATACGCCTTTGCGGTGTGGCAATTGGACAAGACGCTTCGTCGGTAAAATGAGTGGCTGGACGACCAGGGTTAGGATCCTGTCAGAGACAGGATCCTTTCCTTGATGTACAGATCCCACGATTGACCTGCGGAGGCGCCTTGATCGGATTATACTGGACCACGCCGATCACCTTTCGCCATTAAATTCCAAAGTGAACGGCGTGAACATATTTTCCTCCACGCCCTCTCTACGCTTCCATTAAATGCCACTGAAACATAACCAAAAATTTTACGTGGACATTTTTTTTAAATTCCATCTGCTCCATACTCCACGGGACAGGACCCCTATAGAGAATCTAACAGTCGCTCAGCTGTCCAAGTAATTAATTAGCTTTCACGAAACCGTACGTTTCGTTACAGTGTTCAAGAAAGCTCGCCACTGGACCATATCCTGAACCAAATAAATCAGGTACGTACACACGTTCTCATGTCTCTGAGGAAAATTTTAATATTATACTTTTATCTACTCTTGGGGTCAGGTTTTCCGACCAGAAATTTGCACGAATTTCTTATATTTCACGACCCATCTCATCCTATGCCAGTAGTCCTACAAGAGTCCTAACACGGAGGACCGCCCCAGCGAGTGGCCTCCTCTGGGTTAAGTTCAGGCGAGACCTTACAATGGCGAGGCAGGCGCTGAGACGCAGAGGAAAACCTGGGGGAGCTTGCACGTGAAACGACCGGCCATTACCAATTCAGAAGAACACTGACTCCAAGGGGCACAGCGGGGGGAGGGCACAAGTGTTGGCAATCCGTGCGACTTGGCATAGCGTAACGTAATACGGAGTTACGAGTAAGCGAATACACCGATAAACATTCTGATTCTCAACCCCACGCAGACTTCGTGACTACAACCAGTCTTCGCAAAAAAATAATCTAAATGACTCATTTTGTTACGAGACTTAAGGAGATAAATCAATTTACAATACGTCTGTTTGAGAAAATGAATACATTTGATTGTCATACGTCATTTCATATATGACTGTAAAATTGTTTCCACCTCAGACGTTCGTACGACTGTGAAGTTGGTAAAACTGATAACAGACATTTAAAAATAATGAACATGGATTTGTTAAAAGCTTTTATAAATTCACAAAATGTTCGATTAAAAATTTAATAATTTATTCAGATGTAATAATTAGAGACACACAGAACCCATTATTAGCCTAAAATCTACGAAACGTAAGCCTGGACCATGGGAATATTCAGCGTTACCATGACAACAGCCCGCAAATGAAATGTCCCTTCTCGCATTGCACGCGGAAAACATTCCCACTGTCGGACGGTGGGTGGGGTTTCATATACACCGCGAATTTGTTCCCATAATTATTAACTCACACACCCTTAACGATAAATTTAAATAATCTATTTTCGAGGGAATATATTACATCCAGCCGGATAAACAAGCTTTAGTCTCAGGTGGGACATGAACAAAACATATAAACATGTTGCCATTAATTTGAAGCGACACCAGAGCCATCTCCATGGTATCAAGGATAATTAAAACAAAACACAAATCACATGCGCGCCTACATTTTGCCACAAGTACATTCCACTTCAGTATTAATGACTCTTGAAAATACTGACTTAATAAAAGGACTCTTAAATTGCTTTTTGAATTAATACGACGTTCATACGGACAGGGGAAGAAAAATGTCGCTCTAACTTAATCTACGATTGCGTAAATTTAATTACCGTTACTATTTCAATAATTATGATAGCCAAATTACATATTTCATTCCATCTGATACAACCATTGGGATATTAGGTTAATAATTGCAGTAGTGTCTTAACGCTTTCTAAAATGAGATGTTAATGAGAAAATGGCATGGTATGGATTCGTCTAAAATCAAATCAGCCCATAAGTTCTTGTTTTCATTTCCAATACCAAGTTTCTTCGAAATACGTGGTACATTCCGTGATAAAACATGCAGTCGGCCAGAAACGACCTCCTCATTACGCCTTCATTTCATTTGCATTTTGTAACGAATTTATTTGATGATATGTCGTCACAAGAAACCGCAGCTGCTTTGGGGCTACGGACCAATAAAAATAAACAGGGCAACTTTGTAACACGTGACCTCAGACACGCGCAACAGAATCCAAGTTGCATTTACACTTCTCCTCCTCGACGCTCCCACGGGCGCTGGGATGTACCCAGCTTCCTATCCAATCAG